GTATGTGAACTGCTGTGTGGAAAGTGAATTTGCTCTGTAAATTTTCACCCAAATCACAATTTAAATAAATAAATAAATAAAATGGAAAAAAAGATTACAGCCAAGAAAACCCCATGGAGTTCTACTCTGTAACATGAGGTTACCATGATTCAGAATCAACTCAACAGCAATGAGTTTAGTTCAGTTCAGTCACTGTTAAAGTGGGCATCTCTACAGAAGTAGATTGCCCAACCTTCCTTCCGAGGAGTGGCTGGTGGGTTTGAATCTCCAGTCTTCTGGTTAGCAGTCATATGCCTTAGGCACTATGCCAACAGTGCTCCCATTTTATTAACTAATGTACGTGGGAGGTCTAGTGGTGCAGTGCCTAAAGCACTTGACTGCTAACCAGAAGGCTTGCAGTTCAAACCCACCAGCCACTCCTTGGAAGGAAGGTTGGGCAATCTACTTCCGTAGAGATGCTGCCTCGGAAACCCAAGGAGGGGTCGCTATGAGTCAGATTCTACTCGACGGCAGTGAGTTTGGCTTATTATTATTATTATTATTTTCCCAGTTCTGTACTTTAACTTTGCCATATTTAATTGTTTAAGATGTTTTCATTATTAATGTGATCAAACTTACATCTTTTGTTTATTTGTTTTTGGTTTTCATGTCATTTTAGAAAGGACTTCTCCATACCAAGGTAATTAGAATGTTCACTCACTTTGCCTTTAGTGCTTTTAATATTTCATTTTTACATTTAAATCTTTTGGCATAATGTGTGAGATAAAAATCCAGCTTCCCACACTCCCCCTACCCTTAACTAGCTAACTATTGAAAAACAATGATTAAATATTTAAGGTAAAGCACATAGGAGGCAGTTACGGATACTTTCTAGACGTAACCAAACACTTCGTGGGACTGAGTTACTGGGTTTGAGGGCTTAGAAGCATAGTCTTGGGGCAACTCAGTCCATTGGCATTACATAGCTCATAAATGTTCTACATCCTGGTCTGGTGAGTAGTGTCTGGAATCTTAAAAGCTTGCAAGTGGCCATCTAAGGTACAACTATTGGTGTCTACGTGTCTGGAGCAAAAGAGAAAGAAGAAAATCAAAGTCTCAAACAAGAAACTAGTCTACAGGGCTAAGAATCTATATGAACCACGGCCTTACCCACCTTGAGATCAGAAGAACTAGATGGTGCCCAGCTGCCACTACTGACCACTGTGACCAAGGACACCATAGATGGTCCTAGAGAGAATGAGAAAAAAAAAAAAGCATAGAACAAAATGCAAATTCCTAAAGAAGGGCAGACTTAATGGATTGGTAGAGACTAGAGGAACCTTTGAGACTGTCACTGTGGAATACCCTTTAAACTTGGAACTCAAACCACTCTTGGAGGTCACCTATTCACTAAAAGGGTGGCTGACAAAACAGATACTATCACCCATGAGTACTGTGCTCCTGTAAGCAGTCATCTAACTGAGACCTGTCAACATTTACCCTGGACCACAGATGAGAAGGCAAGCAGAGCACAAAGAAACTGGATTAATGGGAATGGAACCACCGGAATGGAAATAATGAGAATGCTGACATGCTGTGAAAAGTGTAACTGATGTCACTGAACATGTGTCAAAACTTTTAAATGTGAACCTAATTTTACGATGTGCATTTTCTCCAAACTTACAACAGATTTTTTTTTTTTTTTTTTACAAAAAAACAGTGACTACATAACTAATCTTTTCCCCACCAATTTAAAATACCAGCTTTGCCACATACATGCTAGATTCCCATGTGACTTGGGTCTCTTTTTGAACTCAGTATTCTGGGGGGTGTACCAGTCCGGGGCCAGCACCAACACACTGGGGTTTTATGCCGTTCGACGGCTGTGACCTTTTGGAAGCGGAATGCCAGGATGACTTCTGCAGAGGCACCTCTGGATGACTTCAAATCACCATCTTTTAGTTAGTATCAGAGGCCTTAACTATTTGTGACACTTGGAAGCTCTTTAATTGTTCAAAAAACAGTGATTAACTATACCTACTCCTCAGTTATCCATGATCTCCTTATCTGACCTTTTGCATTCAAAAATAGATAGAAACTATCTGCTATCTAATTATTTTCAGCCTGAATGACATATGTCTGGCAGTAATGAATGGCAAGGTACAAGCCAGAACACTGGCTGTGATGATTAAGGGTATGTGTCAATTTGGCTGGGCCATGATTCTCAGTGGTTTGCTAGTTATGTAATGAGGTCATTTGGCAGTTAGGTAATGAGGTCATTTGGCAGGTAGGTAATGAGGTAGTCACCCTTTATTTTTGCATAACGATGTGGTCTTTGGCACCTAACCATGTCAGTAAGTGAGGAGTGGGTATAATCTAACACCTTTATCATAGATATGCTACATTTCTATGTAAGTTGGGTCTCTTTTATTTATTTATTTTTATTTTATTGTGATTTGGGTGGAAGTTTACAGAGCAAATTCACTTTCCATACAGCAGTTCACATACACTTTGTCTCATGACATTGACTATAATTATCCACAATGCAACAGCTCCCCTCCCACTTCTTCCCCATAGTTACCTCTTCCCTGTGTCCTTCCCTCCATGCCCTCCTGCCCGCCCGCCCCCCCAGCTGTCTCCCTGTGCATACACAGCCCTTCTATTCTCCCAGGATCGGTCTCTCCAAGGAGTGTATCTACCTAATGTAAATGTTCAGC